GAGTTATTGGTGATACCTGCTGAATTGATATAGACCTTGGTGTATTTGAATTACTTAAATGTATAATTTTTTTTATTAATGTGGAGGAGATGGATTGTTTATAAATAGAGTTTGTGGAGTTAGAGATATTAATATTTGTTTACCTATATTTGAATATTAGCCTGGGATTTGGTTTGGGAAGTCCGGGGGGGTGGGGGGGTAGGGTTTTTACATTGTGATGTATTTGTGATGTGTTTTTTTTTTATGATGAAAATAATAAAAATTTATATTTAAAAAAAAAGAAAAAAAAAAAAGAAATATAGAAACAGAGTGTGACCTGGATAATTTTCCCATATTGGATTTACAAAAGAGGCTTCTTAACGTTTTGAAGCATCTTGTGAGAAGGAACAAAAAAAATGAGAAGAAATCAAATTTTAGGACATCACTTGAACGGACTAAAGATTAAGTCTGTTACAAATAACAAGAAGGGATATAATATTGACTTATTTGGTCAAGGTTAAAGTTGACATATCTCTAGTAACCCTTAATGGACTTTTTGTGAAGGCAAGACAATAAGTAAAGCTTGTTAAAGAGCGATCCAACTTAGAAGTAAGGAGACATTTCCAGATAGTTTCAACAATCAATCAGTGGAACAGCTTGCCTCCAGAAGTTATGGGTGCTCAATCACTGGAGGTTTCCAAAAATAGAATGGAGAACCATTTGACCCGGATGTTATAAGGTCTCCTGCCTTGAGGAAGGGGTTGGACTAAGATCTCAGAAGTCCTTTCCAAGACTATTATTCTATGCTCTGTATTGCTGATGTAGTACAACTTCCTTCCAAGAGCTAAACTCTGATGGTTTAGAATAGAATAGAGCTGGAAGGGACCTTGGAGTTCTTCTAGTCCAGCCCCCCACTCAAGCAGGAGAACCTATACTATCTCAGACAAGTGTCTGTCCAGTCTCTTCTTAAAAACCTCCAGTGATGGAGCACCCATGACTTCTGGAGGCAGCTGTCCAACTGGTTAATTGTCCTCATTTAGGAACTTTCTCCTTAATTCCAGGTTGCTTCTCTCTTTGGTCAGTTTCCAACCATTGTTTCTTGTCCTGCCCTCTGGTGCTTTGGAGAATAAGTTGACCCCCTCTTCTTTGTGGCAGTCCCTCAAATACTGGAATACTGCTATCATGTCACCCCTATTTCTTCTTTTCTTTAGACTAGCCAAACCCAAGTCCTGCAGCCGTTCTTCATATGTTTTAGTCTCCAGGCCTTGGATCATCTTAGTTGCTCTTCTCTGCACTTTTCCCAAGGTCTCAACATCTTTTTTGTAGTGTGGTGACCAAAATTGGTTGCAGTATTCCAGGTGTGGCCTCACTAGTTTCTGTCGCTTTGTTCCCAGGAATTTTTCTTCATGCTGCAATGCAGGTCAACAACCTGGAATGATGCACAAAAATGCCTTCCGAAGGACTCCCCCTTTACCACGGGGTAGATTCAATGGCATTGCAGGACCAGCCTACCAACAATTAGAAGAGTCCAAGATCACGGATCAGGAGCCCGGATCTTCTCAAGAGTAAGTAGGAGAAAATGAGAGAAACCAGTCTGTTGTTGAGAATTAAACTGAAGGAAGGCATACGGAAATGAAGGAATGAATACTTTGTAATGAAACCCGCATGTAGGTTTGACAGAACTCTCTTAAAACAGCATCTACGATGTCCCAAAAGTGCTTTTTTCAGGAGGCAACTGGACTTTTCTTGTTTTTCTTTGAAGACGTTTCGCTTCTCATCCAAGAAGCTTCTTCAGCTCTGACTGGATGGTGGGAAATAGAAGGATGTATACTCCTTGCAGACAGCTGGTCATTTGCATTCTTTTAGAGCAGGGGTGTCAAACTGGAAGCCATGCCCACCCCAGCTCCAGCAAGGGGGAAAAAAGTTGCGATACATAGCAACATGTCACGTGACGTGGCGAGTTTGACACCCCTGTTTTAAAGAGTCATTGAGGCCATTTGACTTTGTAAACCACTTAGAGAGAGCAGTAAAGTATTATGAAGCTGTATAAGTCTGGGCTATTGCTATTGTCTTTGACTCAGCCTTCCATCCTTCTGAGGTCGGTAAAATGAGGACCCAGATTTTTGTGGGCAATATGCCGACTCTGTAAACCACTTAGAGAGGGCTATAAAGCACTGTGAAGTGGTATATTAGTCTAGAGGGCTATAAAGCACTGTGAAGTGGTATATTAGTCTAGAGGGCTATAAAGCACTGTGAAGTGGTATATAAGTCTAAGTGCTATTGCTATTCATTGTAATAGGATACCACTAGTTCCTCTATCTGGGTCTACCAGATCTGGACTATAAAAATCATGGCACTCACTGGTTAAAAGCCAAGATACATAAAATCCTAATGTCTTGTGGTCATCTAACGTTTATCCAGATTTTTGCAGCCCAACTCTGATAGATGGGTTTAATAATCTATACAGTGGTTAAGTCTATCTATTTTTTTTTAAAAAAAAGTCTTTTTAATAATATTTAATAAAAATGCACGATCTTAACAGCAAAGATGGCATGCTTAGTGGGCAATCCTTCATAGCTTATTGTTATAGGTAACTCTTAATTTCTAACTGTAACAAAGCACAGGATTTCTGTCATAAGTCATCACTGTCATAAGTCAAGGTACCCATGTGACCAGCCCCAATGTTCTGACTTTTTTTGTGGCGGCTGATCAACAAACATTGTGATTGTTAAGCGAATAAATTTCTTCTGATGGGTGTTTTTTTGCAAGAATCCAGCTGAAACGGCCAGAAACTGGCAAAGGTACCATTAAATCATGGTCACATGACCACATAACAGGCCTAAAATGGTGCCCAAAATATGGTCATGTGACTATGGAGTGGTGTGCAATCATTAGAACTACTTCCAAATGGGGTTGTTGACCTTTGGTGTGTCTGTTGTAACTTTGAACACTTGCTAAGCACCCAGTCATTAAGCTAGGAATACCTGCATGGACTAGATATACAGTATTTCTTGTGTCCATCTATTTTTAAACAGTAATATATATCTAATATCTATATACACTACTTCAGACATGTCAAACACAAGGCCCGGGGGCCGGATGCGGCCCGCAAAGTGGTTTCATGTGGCCCGCGAAGCCATCCTGGAAACAGTGAGGGAACGGCCCCCGCTGCCTTGGCCCTGGCCCAGGCCGGCCGAGAGCCAATGTACAATTTTGTGGTGGCCATCTATGCTGAAACGCATTCAGTCTTAGCTCCACAAGGCCGTCTGGAAACAGTGAGGAACCAGCCCCTGCCGTGTCGGCCCCACCCCCTGGGTGCATGCTGGGGAGGTGTCACCCTTTGTGAGGAATGAAGAAATGGACCATGCCTTGGCGCTTGCCCTGGTCCCACCCCTTTCTGCCAGAGACCCTCAGATCTGTCCCACTCCTGCCCAGGCCCCCACAGGCACCCTTGACGCGAATGATGTAGAGCTGGCCACACCCACCCAGTAGGCCACACCCACTCCATCCACACCTACCCAGTAGGCCGCACCCACCCGCCCCCCGAGGGCAACCGCAATGCTGATGCGGCCCTCAGTGAAATTGAGTTTGACACCCCTGCACTACTTGATATAAGGAGATATTCCTTTAGGAATCCTGTTTGCAGACCATTTGGGTTGCCCTTGAATTAATTTTTAATTTCTTTTCTTTGATGTTGAACGCGTAATAAAAAGAAAAGAAGAACAAGCATGAGACTCAGCTTCTTTTAGATCAAATACACCAGAGTCTTTCTTCCAGAGAGAAAAAACAATCCTCTTAGCTGAGGCTCACAGACGATGCATTTAAAATTCTTCATGCCTCAATAGATTCCAAATTTCTGGAATATAATTTAACATCAGATTCACATCTCTGACCCTTATTTCTTTTCCCACTGCACTATTTACAACCTTATGAATATTAAATCAAAAGGTGTCAACAGAGAACAGGCCCTAACCACATTTTTTCAATTATACCATCAGACTTATATTTTGACCTTTATTGCTTCCTGGAACTCAAGCAATTTATTTCAAAAACCATTATGGGCACCCCTGGAAAGTTATTATCTTTCCCCCTTTAATACTTTAGCAGGGCCTTGCTTCTTATTTTACTCCTAACTCAGTTGCTTTTCCCATATCAAAAGCTTTAAAACACATTTTGGAATCCGTTGAGAAGGTGATTCAGGTTTGATCTCATGAAAACGTGACATTACGAGATAATCCAACCCTGAAGATTGCTCACAAACCATTCTTCTGGAATTAATGGACAAAGCAGATATTAACACTTTGGTCCAGCTCATTGCTAATTAAAACTTTTAATGTTTCACAACAATAAGATTGCTGAATGACAACAGATACAATTAAAACACCTTGATGCTCAATCAAGAGTTAATTTTGACTTTCAGTTGGAAACGTATGTTAAGAGATGTGATTAATTTGGAATATGGAACCTGGACTATCCTGTTTCAAAATCAGTGGTGGGATTCAAATAGGTGAACAACCGGTTCTCTGTGTGGATGCCACTTCCGGAAGTCCATTCTGGGCCTGGGCAACAAAAAATTAGCTACCGGTTCTGCCGAAGTGGTGCAAACTGGCTGAATCCCACCACTGGCTATGGCCCTGATTTAAAAGTAAAAGTAAAGGAAATTTTCTGAGAATAGCCAAGAAATTTCCCATTGAACATAGAAAGATTGCTGAAGTTACAGTGATGGAATGACATAAAGGTATAGAATAGGTGTCCCAAAGGTGTTTTTGCACGAGGCAACTGGACTTTCTTGTTTTTTTCTTTGAAGAGGTTTCGCTTCTAATCCAAGAAGCTTCTTCAGCTTCTGAAGAGTTGAAGAAGCTTCTTGGATGAGAAGCGAAATGTCTACAAAGAAAAACAAGAAAGTCAAGTTGCCTTGTGAAAAAGCACCTTTGGGACAACCATGACCTGGATGACCCCATAGACATATAGAAAAGGAGGTACCTGGCTCAACAGTAGCACCTATGAGAGGGATCTAAGAGTCCTAGTGGACAATCACTTAAGTATGAGCCAAAAAAAAAGCCAATGCAGTCTTGAGCTGCAACAACAGATGGAGAGTTCACAAGATCACAAGGGATAGCACCACTCTAGACTGCACTAGTGAGGCCACACTTGGAATACTGTGTCCAGTTTTGGTCACCGTGTTCCAAAAAAAGATGCTAAGATCCTAGAAAGAGTACAGAGAAGAGGAACCAAGATGATAAGGGGTCTGGAGGCTAACTTACACAATAAACAGATAAGGGAACGAAGTATGTTTAGCTTAATGAAAAGGAGGATTAGTAATGACATGATAGTAACCTTCCAGTATTTGAGGGACAGTCACAGACAAGAGGAGGTTGACTTATGCTCCAAAGAATGAGGGCAGGACAAGAAGCAACAGGTGGAAGTGCCTCAAAGGGAGTGAGAACAATTGATTGATGGAACAGCTTGCTTCCAGGAGTTGTGGGTGCTCTGTTGCTGGAAGGTTGAACAATAATTTGTCTGGGATGCTGTAAGGACTCCTGCTTAGAAGACTTCCAAGGTCTCTTCCACTCTATGATTGCCTAATGTTCTAACATCAAAATACCTGTCGTGTTGACTCGTTGTCTCTTATAAACCAATGATTCTCACCTATTTTCCTTCTTAGGTTACCTCCTGGTTTAAAAACATCACAGAACGCTTCGATAAATATGCAACTGCCTTCGAGAGAAACAAGCTCTTATTTCAATAGCGCAGCTCCAAGAAATACGGTGGGCTACTCATCGCCGAGAGCCAATTCTGTTCCCATCATCCCTTCGGTGGGCTTAGATGAAGCCTGCATGCAGACTCAAAACACTTCAGACACCACAGGCATCAAATGGTGCAAAAACTCCTATTCCACTGAAATGGTCAACATGAGTGCCCCAGCCAGCAGCTGTCTTATTGCAGAACAACAAGAAGTTAAACTATTGTTAGAAACTGTCCAGGAACAGATCCGAATTCTGACCGACGCAAGGAGGTCAGACAACTTCGACCTTTCCAAGGTCAAGGCGGAGAACAGTAGAAGTGGGAACACGGCTTTTCTGCCCATGAGCCCTGTGGCCAAATCAGAGCGAGAGCAGACACAGTTTGTCTTAAAAAGGGAATCGAAAAGAGACTCGGCATCCATCAATTGACTTTGACCCGGGGGTGGATGGGAGGGTAAGATGGGGTGGGGTGGGGTGGGGCTGAATGGTTCTGTGCATTTGAAGCTTTGCTAAAACAGGAAAGAGAGGAAATTACAAATTATTTATATGCATTAATTTAAAAAAAAACATCTACTTAGAAGAAACCAAATAGTCTATCACCCTCATCTCAGTGTTTTTTAACAAAATATTTTTTTAACGGAAAGAGTTACCAGGTGGTATGACCCTTAACCAGAAGTTCTGTTTTTTTGTTTTCTTGTTTTTTAATTCTTTCTGGTTGGTTTTCTTTCTTCCCTTTGTCCCTTTTTTTTTTTTTACTTCTGCCCATCTCTCTTCTTTGGTTGTTCCTTCCAAGCCTACATATTCTCCTCCAACTTTGTTGACTGAACTGTCAATGGGACGTTTTCACCTAAATCAGTGATGGTGAACCTTTTAGAGACAGAGTGCCCAAACTACAACCCAAAAACCACTTATTTATCGCTGGGTGCCAGGTGGGCGTGGCCCACTGGGTGGGCGTGGCTGTAGTGGTCATGGCAGACAAGAGTGGGTGTGGCCAAGATGGGCGTAGTCACCTTGATGTTGCTCATGGGGAGGGACGCCTGTGGGGGCTGGGCAGGGTTGGGGGAGATCCAGGGGGGTCTCTGGCAGGTGGGATGGTGGGCAGGAGGCAAGGTGAGGCAGGGCAGGGGTGCCATTGTCACAGGGCAAGGTGAGACAGGGGCTGGCTGCTGCCTGACACCGTCGGTCCCCACACACAGAGGCCAGCGAGCGCACAGGGCCCAACAGTGTCTGTCAGCAGCCACAGCCTGCCGGCCCCTCAACCGGTGCACTCTGGGGCTCCGCATCCCACCGCCAAAAGTTCAGAGAAGCTGTGTCTGAGCTGGACGGACAGCCGACAGCTGAGGAGGCGATGCAGTGGGTCGTGCCCGGGAAAAGGAGAGCATGCGAGGCCAAGAGGGGATGGAGGGGAGAGAAACCAGATGTGCTGGGATGCATCCAGCCACATGGGACCTCAGCGAGTTAGCAGGCGGCTGGTTGAAGAGGGACAGTTGCCATCTCCAGGGCATAGCGCATGTGCCCACAGAGAGGGCTCTGAGTGCCGCCTCTGGCACACGTGCCATAGGTTGGAATGGAACCGTACTAGAATGCAGCTCCTAGTCTCATTAAATTCCCACTGATTTTAGAGCATTTTATGTGAAAGGTTTTCGACTTCTTACAAGGAATTCACGACTTGTAATCCAAATCTCTGAAGTCCTTTAGTAATAATTTGACTCCTTCATTCTCCAGATCTACAGCGAACACCGTTGCTATACCCTAAGCCTTAGGCCACACATTTGTAATAATAAAACAAATACAAATGATAAAATCGATGAAAGACAATCCCAAGTTGTTTTCTCCAGATTCTGTGACTGATACCTCTCACCCCAGCTAGCCATGTTGTGTGGGGCATGATGATCAACCCAACCATTATATCCGAAGGAGAACATCAGAACATTGGCTTAAGCAGAAAACTAAATATAATAGCAACATTTTCACAAGTAGTGAACTATTTGCCTGGGTTAATAAATTTATTATGAGGGTGAAGGTGAAGAGAATTTGGAAAGAGGGTGTGTGTGTTCCTTTGTTTGGGGGTGTTTTGTTTTTTTTTGGCAAGTGTCTTTTCTCCTAAAATTTTAAGAAAATCCCAAAGTGCTAGCAACATTCTTCAGGAGAACGTTCTTTTCCATTCATTAATGCAAATAGACTTTTCTCCTTATATGACCCTCAGTGTTTATTGTCACGTCAAGATTCACATTCTAATACTCCAGCAAATATAAATATTTTACAACTCCCTTTTCTAACCAGATCGCTGGCATTTGCAATTCTCCAAACTCAACCAGTACAATGAAAGATGGTTTTTTGTTTTTTTTTTGAATTTGTGAGTTATAATTTAACACCATCTGCACAACGCCAGATTGAGTAAGACTGTCTCACAATAGGTCTTTCTTTGTTCCTCTTTCACTTGGTCCAGAAAGCTTAGTTTCAGAAGAAGAGTATTTAAGTAGCAAAATTCTAGGAAACTGTTTTGCCTGTTTTATCTTCAGGATCTCTGGGAGGAAGGTAAAACATTGCAAATATGCAGGTTATATTTATATATTATGATTTTTTAAAAAAAAAATTAAGAAGGTCCCTTAATCTACATTATTTTCCAGGAAACATATGCTATTATTACTATGTTTTTCCTGAAGGTTACCTGTGAACTCCAAGGAAATTGTTCAAATATATGCATTATCTGGGGTTTTTTTTTCGTTCTTACTCAACAACTAAAGGATCCAATATGTTTCTCTATTAAACATATATTTATAATTGTCAGTTCCATTTCTACAATCCCTATTGGTGCCAGCTATTGAGTATTGAAACCTACTTTGGCCGTGTCAAAAAGTAAGGCTTAATTTTCTCACATTATTTCTGATTGCCCTCATGAGGAATTTCATGGAATATAAGAAAATGGATTAACCTATGTGGACTTTTCTGTGAACTTCATACCCTCCTGTATACATTTGAAGTCTTCAGGCATTAATATGTGGTAGAAAGAGGTTTCTTGGGCATAACTTAGCGGGCCTTTGGCTGTCAAAACGAGAAATACACTTCCTATTTTCTCTTCTCCTTTGCAAAGTCATTAGAAGAATGTACACATTTCCCCACAGAAGCATCATGCTAATTTAACTTCTGAGGTTGCAGAGGGTACATAAGAGGTACTTATGTACCCTCTGCAAATTTACCCTTACAGGCCTATAAAGCGGGAATTGCTGATACTCCCCAATCTTAACGGGCCCATCCGCATCTATCTGTAGTTGGATGCTCATTCTATACATTGTGCATTCTGCTCAGCCAAAGTGGTTTTAGAAAAAAAGTGTTCATTGGTTTAAGGGGAGTGAGCACAGGATCAAGTCTTTATTTGTTTATTTATTTTTTAAAAAAAGAAAGATAATTTGGGGTTTTCTTAAGCACTTGAAGTTTATTTTGTATTGTTTTTATTTAACCACAAACCACACTATGGCATCAGAATAAAGAAGTTGTGTTCAGTAACCACCTATCTATTAGTACTTTTTTAATTTTGTTTTTAAAGAAAGAGCTGGTTCAACTGTTATCTATTCTCTCTCTCTCTCTCTCTCTCTCTCTCTCTCTCTCTCTCTCTCTCTCTCTCTCTCTCTCTCTCTCTCTCTCTCTCTCCACACACACTAATGCAGAATCATATATTTTAAAATATATGCACAATGAAGATAAAATACACTTAACACTCCGACCCAAAGCCAAAATAAATTGTGTTAGCGTGATTCCATGTTTCTCTAATTGGAGTGTCCTAACACCATCGTTCTGTTTCCAAACTGAATCTGAAAAAAAAGCAATATTTGTGCTCTTGTGAAATGAACTGGATAAAAAGACCTTGAAAAGTATCTTGTATTTTTTTCTCCCGGTTCCACAGCCCTGTGCTATAAAACTATATATTTTTTAAAAAAAACAACAGAGTGCACAAAACACTTGTTTTCTCCCTTTCCAATGTCGATGGAAGTATCTTTATATAACTTGATACAACTTTCTAAAGCTGAAATCTTTCAACGTGTGTTTTCAACGTAGCCATACGGGAAGGCAAATTTGTACCAGGTCTGATAATTCCCACAAAGTAACAAGAATGATCCAATACTTTGCCCCTAAGAGCCCCTAAGGTAATTCTTAAGTTTTCTCTTGACAAGAAATACTGAATTGGCAGTAATGCCTAAGAATGGACACATAAAACATTTTTGCATCCCAACGATCTTCAAAAAATACTTTGGAAACACACTGACGGATTTCTCTTGGAGAAAGAATTCTATGCTTTAGGCTATGCCTGTCTTAAAACGTAACACCATTTACTTTTCTTGAATGCAGCAAATTTAGACCAGCAATGTATTAATGATGCAATTATTGGGGTTTTTTTTATCTCTCTCTTTTTTTTTTGCTTAGTTTTGACTTTTGTTTTGAACTGACCTGAGAGTTGAAGATCTAAAAAGGTGGGAAATCTTCCGTTTGTGTTAGCAATGCTCTCTGTATCCAACTAAGGATGTGTGTGACTGTTATATGTTATCTGTTCTATTCAGTTTTTAGCATGTTTGAATAGAGAGACATTAATATTAACCACATGAAAGACTAATGTAGTTATTTGCTAAGAACGTAACTTCATCTTCTCGATACAATTAAGGGGAAATCTGAAAGATGTTCGGATCCAGGGCATTTTTAATCTGGAGAATGTTTCCGTTCTCTGATTTATTTTCCCTGTTAGAGATTGAATACTTTTTCTACTCCGATCTGACATTTTAATTACGGCGATTGTGCATTTTATTACGTACATTTGCTGCACACAAAATCCAAAGGTACTGGTGGAATTGTACTCTGCCTTATCCGCCCTATGAAAAAGAATATGCTGGAATATACTGTATACTCTTATGCACAAAGAGTCCCAGAGTGGGAATCAAAGCTACCTAATAAATGTTAAAATCAGCCTCAGATGTATGCAGCACGAGGTCCACCTCTTTTGGCCATGCACAACACTTCACATGCACAGCTTAGATTGCATCACTGCAGTGCAATCTTTATTGGAAGGAAAATATCAGATTCCAGCATGCTTCTGCTGACAGGCTTGATCCATGGGAATCTGTGGAGCATCAAGTGATGTCACATGCCTCAGGATCCTTATAGTCTGATCCAGCTAGATGCATATCCTCTGTACGCACTGCAGAAAATGCTATTTTCCTCACGGCGGGAGGAAAAGTCCCATGTTAAGAGTAGCAGGGACTATAAAATATATCCTGTTTCCTATAGTTTATACCGTTGAACCATCGTTTGGGATTTTATGGATGTATCTGCAGAAATTGCAGTTGTGATGACGGTGGCAGCTGTTGCAACAATTGAATGTGGAGTACAGTTTTGAGACAAATGGGTAAAAATGCATTTAGAGGCACCACAACTCATTT